AAAGGGTGTAATAATATTATTGATCTCTTCCTTTATCAGCCACAGTATCTACAGATGGCACGTTGACATATTCATCACTATTTGACTACAGCGGTCATAACAAACAAAGACATTCAAAACTGCCGGCAGATGCTGAAAGATCTTGTCAAAGTTATTCAACAGAAGTCTTATATAAAGACCCAATTACAGAGTTTGTGGAATGTTTATATGTTAACTTTGACTTTGACGGGACTCAGAAAAAGCTGAGGGAATGTGAATCTGTGTTTCTGAATGACTTCTTGGCAGCTGTTCTTGAGGATTTTATTGAAAATGCTTATCTCTTCCTGAGGCTTTCTTGAGGCTTTTGGTTGCATCCACCAGCGTATCAGCACTAATGTGTTGGCAGATCAACTGAGCATGACTCCAGATGAAGCTGAAAGGTGGATTAGAAATGAGAGACTAGATGCCAAGATTGATTGTAAGTTAGGTCAGGCGGTTATGGGTCACAATGCAGTCTTACTTTATCAGCAAAAGCCTTTCATTTGGAAGCCAGATGGTGGCCATGAATGTTGAGAAGAAACTTAATCACAATAGTAGGTTAGAGGCTCCTAACTGAGCAACTCAAGATTCTGGCTGCTACCAAAGGACTGTAAAGAAAAGACAAAAAAAAAAAGACCCATAAAATAAAAATGAAATAATAAAGCCATTATATAAAAGAGATACATTTTAGAAACAACACATTGAGTATAAATTTTGGAGAATTTGAATAAAATTGGCTGTGTTTCATTAAAAAATAGAGACGATGCTATACAATCATTGTACCAAAATCCCACCAGTCTCTACTATTGTGTAAAAAAAGGAAGCAGAGAACAGGTTCACAGACTCCCACTTTACACAATTAATGAGTATTTGACACTGCTCCTGTGTGTGGAGTTTGTTTATCCCTCACTTTTTTCCAGAAAGGAAAAAATAAAAGCAATTTATGAAAACCCTGTAAATTAGGACTCCAAGTAAACTAAGCAAGAAATTAGGGTGGGGATGGAAAATAAAGCCAGGAATGATGCCAACACATGCACAGCACAAAGAGCTATACACTTAGTTTGGGTGGGGGACACGTTTGGCTCTGGTTTTCCAGCAGTCAGTACAGAATGAGAAAACTGGTTATGATGTCACAAAATAAATATAGTTGCTCAGAAAAAATGATGAACTTTTTTCATATAAAGAACAGTTAAAGTTTTTTTCTAGAGTTTTTATAAAGAGAATTCTATATGATTTCATAAGCAATGCCTAGCAACACTCTTCCCATGCACAAATAGAGCTTCATGGCTGATTATTATAGTGGCCTTGAATGCAGGTGATGGCATTGTATCAAGGATTATCTAATAAAATATTTTGGAACGAGCCAGTCTTGTTGTGAAGCTCTATGAAAGGTTGAGATTTCACTGTACGTGCAAGCTCACATGCACGGGACATAAATGCTGGCAGGAGACACAACACTCCCGGGTCAAAGACAAAGGACTGTTTATTTACTCATAGCAATAGCAGTAGCCTCGGTGTCAGCACTTGTGCCAGTTCTAGGAGTCCCCATTCCCTAGGGCAGCCCAGGGAGGTACAGGTCACATTTATACATGGCATAGGTTGCATTATAGTGAAGCAGCCCTGAGCTTAGTTAGGGACCTTGAGTCTTTGATTAATAGGAAGTGAGCATGTATTCCCTTTGCTCCAGAGAGAAACTTTATTATTTGGGACACTAAGCAAACTTCTATCTTCCAAGGCTGTTTTCTATACAAATATTCTTGAAAAGATAGTCTGGGGCACAGGGAACCAATGCCTCATCTCATTAGATGTACAGAAATGTGAGGGACACTTGGAGAATTGTCTCCCAACAACTGTACAATCCAGTCACACCGTAGCTTTCTCTGGGTGGATTCAGGGCTAACCCTTAGGCTCTCTGGAGGAATTGATGACTAGTGCTTCACTGGATACTTACTCATCATACTTACTGCATTCTCGTCATGTGCACTGGGTACCACGACAGACAAAAACAGTCATGAATGGTTCCTACTTTCACAGAATAAAGAATATATACATATATTTTATGTGTTTTTTTACAGCAGTTCTTCCTAAATGTTCTCTCAACAAGATTTTTAAAATAGAATTATTTAAATGTTGCAGTTAAGTATTTTTATTTCTCAATTTATTAAAACACAGTATTTCAAAATAAGATTATTGTTCTTTAACCATGTCATACTGCATTTAATTCTCAAAAGGACCCTTTGCAATACATGACTTTTTCATTTCAGCATTACAGATAGGAAAAGTAAAAGGCATTATATCTACGTTAAAGTCACAACAACTATCACAGCAGTTTTAGGTACACAGCAAAGTTCACAGCAGATAGAGGCTTCTCATATACCTACTCCCTGGCCCCACATGTGCGGAGATGGACCATCCACCCTCTGCCCATCCCATTACCAACATCCCTACAAGAGTGGTACGGTCGATGAGCCTAAATCGACACATTGTTATCATCCAGGGTCTATATTTTTACATACAGTTCACTCCCAGTGCTATGCATTCTACGAATTTGAGTAAATGTGTAAACGGGGTTTCCAACTGATATTGGTTAAGTCTATAATCTCACAAGCAATGGAGCTTTATATTTCTATATTTCCAGTTAAATACAGACACAAGTGGCACTTGAACCAGGGCTCAGGGCTGGCATTTGTGGCATTCTGCTGTGACAACTGAGAGGCCTCCCAGGGCGTCTCCAGTGTACCCACAGTGAGAGGGAAACTCTTCCCTGAAGATGGCCTTCGGGGCTCTAATGATTACATGACCACAGCTCTGAAGTTTTCTTCCATGTAGCACAGCACTTGGAGTTCCTCTGGGGTATTTGTCCACCTCCCTTTGGGCGGGGACTCCAACAGGACAGGAAGCGTTTTGTTCCCTGAGAAGGTGAAACGTCTCCTCCGACACCGTCTGTTTCTTTCCAATGTGCCCGCCCTGGTCTAAGGAGAGCTCCAAGCTTCTCAATGTCTTCACTGTCCCGAGGTAATAAACCATCTTCTTCTGGCAAAATAACTGGAGATTAGCCTTTATTTAATTAGCTCCCAGACAGTTTCGAACTGCAAATAGTGATTGCTAATGTCGCCTGCACGCCCAGCAGAGACTGATCCTGTAATTCCATTACCTCCCCCTCGGACCAGCCCCTCACACTGTTTTGAAGCACCAGCCCTCTTTTCGCTATTTCTACTGGGTTATCCTCCCCCCCAAAAACCTGTCATTTCTCCTAACACAGTGGCTTCAGTGGTTCAACTTACTGGTGATGGCATATGGGAGCAGGCCCACAGTGCCAGCTGGATGAATGTCCGAACTCGGGTTTGAGAGAGCTGCCTAGTCAAGTAAAAAAATTAGAGATGAAAAAGACCCATTAAATAACCCAATCCCCTCAGCGGCCGGTGCCAGAGCATTCCTACGGTGAAAGCTTACCCTGGGCCAGCTCCGAATGACTTTAACAATATGCCTTCTCACGCTTTATTTGGAAGACGGGGCTGTCTTTTCAATTTCTCTTTTTTCTTTGGTAAGTTTTTTGACCAGAAGTTCATTTGACCAGGGTTATTTCATTTCCCTCAGCCACAGCAACCCTGTTTTCAGAGTCGATATAAATGTACAGACAACAGTTCAAGTGCTTTACTAGCCAGCCATTCCAGCAATGCCTGTGTTTCGGGTCATGTGACGGGGGGGGGGACAGCGGGCACACACGAACGTTGGAGGTGGAAGCACCTGCATTAGAACCACAGTTCTGTTTAATTGGGGGATTTATTATTGTTGTTTTCGGTGACTATTATTTATTAAATTCTTCCCATGGGCCTGGAACTATGGTTACTACTACCCACAAATTCTGCTAGCAAATTTATAAAATTGGTACTCTTATCTCTACTTTAGAACTTAAAGTTTAGTGATTAAGAGTGCAAGCTCTGGGTTAAATTGCCCGATTGAGGTGCTGGCTCTGTTGCTTACTAGCACTGTGACCTTGTGCCTGTCTCTTAACCTCTCCATGCCCAGTGATTTTTACCTATAGAGTAGAGGTGATGACAGTGACAGATTTGTAGGTTAACAGGCAGCCTTGTAGGTTATTTTGAGGAACAAATGTTTTAATACACGTGAACTGGTCAGATCACTGTCTGGCATGCAGCAAGCAGTTCACTGTAAGCAATGAACTATAGGTGAAGAAATTTGTTCAAAGGCGCACAGCATACACATTTAAACTCTGGTCAATTCTATTCCAAATCCCAACCAAATGATCCATGATCCGTTAGAGTGCCCTGGCTTTGTCAGAACAGTTAACCTGTCTAAGCTTCCGTTTTTCTCACCAGTGAAGTGGGGATAACACGGTATCTCCTACACAGGCACTGCACAGCATAATGTAGGCAAAAATACTATTACAGAACGTGGCCCAGAGCTGCGGATAGTCGGTGACAGTGAATTTACTGCGTCTCTACATCTATTGGATAGAGTATCTGTATTATACAACTCTCTGTGTGTATATGTATATATGTAAAATGAATAGCTATATAGCCAACTATTTACTCTTAAATGTTTCTCATAATAGTGGAACTGTAGAATGATTCAAAGAATATTTTTATGAGTTTACTCCCATTTAAAAGAAGAATTTGATTAGTGTACTAGATAATTAAAAACAGTTTTCTTCCTAATAAGGTTTTATTTTATATTTTCAGCATTCCAATGGTTTTAAGTAGGTCTTTTCTGGATTTTTTTTTTTTAGAATAGCTCAAACAATGTTTCAAAATTGCCTAAATACATTTTCTTTCACACATATAGATTGACCATAAGTTTGATTTTTGTATCACAGAGAAAGACACAGACAGTTCTAATCTAGCAGGAAATATTATGATATGTTTTCGCTGTTGTGCCTTTTTTTTTTTTTGGTATGTGTGTGAGAAAGGGTGTGATGTCATTCTGTCTCCACCCCCTGTGAGTAAGCCCACGGCAGAGCTCAGTGCAGCCGCCCGCCTGTCACTGGGAGACAGTCCACTTAAATGCAGCTCCAGAGCTGCGGGACACCCACCAGCATCAGTCCCCGTGTGAGGTGGCAAATGCAACATGCTCTCCAGCTTGGGGTGTCTACTTCTCTGTGGAAGTATTGCGCTAGCCCTGGGAAATGCACAGAAATTGCCAAAAGGCAAGTAGCTCTGATCTTTTGTGTTTTAAAAATAATTTTTGAGATGCTTGTTTTGAAATGTTGATGTTAAATGGGATCTGCTTTACCAGATGGGGGTAACAGAGTTATATGGTGGAGAGTTGAAGTTCAAATGTGTGAAGGTGTGACTTAAATCTTACTTTTCTTTTCCCTGCCGTGATGTACTTTTTATTTGGATCTCTTTATTGCAAAAATGAAAATCAACTATTAGGTTCAGCAGATGTTTCACAGAAGTTTCAATGATATATTTTCAAGCTATAGTATTTGTATATTGAATCAAATCGTGTAGATGGGTATTGGAGTCTGTTAAAAAGAGTTGCTTGGTGTTTTTATCCCCCCTTCCCAGAGACTAAACCAGTACTATCTTAAGGCTTTAAAGAAGCTAATTCTTGACTCTTTGGTGTAAAGCCTGCCCCTCCTGTTAACTCAGGCGATGTAGGATTCTAGGAATGGTGTGTAGGGTCATGTGCTACTTCACAGAGACACTTTGCTCCAGCGGAGTTTGACCAGGGTTTGATCTGCTGGGCAGGACACTCCCCCCTTTCCTGGCTAAAGTGATCTCATTTTAGTATTGGTATTTTGTTTACAAATGTCATCAGAAGAAAATTAAAAATTTGAAACTTACACCCTAAAAGCAATCTTTTAAGCCCATCAGCACCCAAACAAGAGCTTTTCTCTCTTCTGTCTTTGAATATAAATGTTACATGTGCTTTTTTGTTTCTTGGCAAAGGCACTTTTCTAAGCCAACTCCAGGTCTGAGAAGGCTTTTTACGGCTGCAGACTGCTGTAGTCAGCAGGATTAGGAAAAACAGGCTGAAACTTACCGGACAGTGATCATGGAAAATACTGGAGGTAATGCGGAGCAACAGGCTTGTCGAAAACCTGGGTGTGTGAACAGTCAGACAGAAAGATTGTGAGCGTCGTAATACCCCAAAGACGCTTCCTAGGTGCCCCCTGTGGATAGTTTACTCCCAGATCATCTGGTCCCAAGTGAAAATTGTCTCCTGAGTGTGTTTTACATGATCACGTAAAAAGAAACACAAAAGGGCAAAGTAAAGCTTCTCAACTCTGATTGGATAATTATGCAAAGGAAAATAAAAACAAGTACACACTATTAGATTTTTATTTTCTGTCAAGAATTTTGTTCTTTGATCATAGTAGAAGTGTTTCAATAAATCAATTATGAGCCACAAGCCTTCAGGATTAATTGTTCCTGGTGCTGAAATATTTAATAAGGACACACAATTTGAGAGGAACCTGGAAGTTTTCTCAGGCTCCATTTCTTACCTTGGTTTATTTTGCCTTGTACTCACTGGGCAGAGATGGTAGCTGCAATTTTCTTACTGCAGATTTCTGTAAATTCCAAGTGCTTTAATTATTACGTTGCAATCACTGGATACAAATCTCTTGACACAATTTTCCTTTCTTTGTTACGGTTTTTAAAAAAGTTGTCGAAACAGCCATGAAACCTTTGGTTAGTCTGTTACACTTTAATCCAAAGTATTTTTATTCAGCCTTCTTTTGCATTTTCTGAAAATATCCATCATTCTGGTAATATAGAATAAATGGAAGTTTCCTTGTCTGTAATGCTGTATTTTTTCTTTACTGCGAAAGCTACTGAGGAACTTTCTTTTAGCTCAAGTCGCCTTCCTCAAATTTATCTCAGGGGCATGTACTGCCCTCACTCACGGTGATTAGGCGATAACAACTGCTCTCTTCTGGTGACTGAGGAAGCGCTGATGCTTTACCTGCTTGTGGAGAGTCACAGTGAACCTGAGAATTTTATAGCTTCTGAGAATTTTTAGTTAAGAAACCTGTCCATTTTTTAAAACCTATTGTTTCCCAAACTCATTTGCCTAAGACTGCTTTTCTGGTGGAATAGCTATGGTATCTTTTAAAAATATATTTAAGAATAATGTTCTTTATTATGTAAATGAAAACAGGGTGTGATTCATATTCTTTTTAAAAATTTATTTTAATTGCTGTTCAAGTACAGTTTTCTGTCTTATACTCCCATCCCAGCCCACCCCCTCCAAGCCTCCCCGCCCCCCCCATTTTCACCCCCGTTAGTTTTTGCCCATGTGTCCTCTATACTTGTTCCTGTAAACCCTTCCCCTTTCCCCCTGAAATTCCTTCCCCTCTCCCCTCTGGTCCCTGTCAGCCTTTTCTTTATTTCAGTGTCTTTAGTTATATTTTGCTTGTTTGATTGTTTTGTTGTTTAGGTTCCTGTTAAAGGTGAGATCATGTGGTATTTGTCTTTCACCACCTGGCATATTTTGCTTAGCATAATGCTTTCCAGTTCCATCCATGTTGTTGCAAAGGGTAGGAGCTCCTTCTTTCTTTCTGCTGCATAGAATTCCATTGTGTAAATATACCATAGTTTTTTTTTTAATCCATCCATTTACTGATGGGCATCTAGGTTGCTTCCAGCACTTGGCTATTGTAAATTGTGCTGCTATGAACATTGGGGTGCATAGGTTCTTTTGGATTGGTATTTCAGGGTTCTTAGGATATAATCCTATCAGTGGAATTGCTGGGTCAAAAGGCAGATCGATTTTTCATTTTCTGAGAAAATTCCATACTGTTTTCCACAGTGGTTGTACCAGTCTGCAATCCCACCAACAGTGAACTAGGATCCCCTTTTCTCCACAACCTCTCCAGCACTTGTTATTTGTTGCTTCGTTTATGATGGCCATTCTGATGGGTGTGAGGTGGTATCTCATTGTAGTTCTAATTTGCATCTCTCTGACAGCGATATTGAACATCTTTTCATGTGTCTCTGGATCCTCTATATGTCCTCCTTGGAGAAGTGTCTGTTCAAGTCCTTTGCCCATTTCTTAATTGGGTCGCTTGTTTTCTTAGAGTGGAGTCATGTAAGTTCTTTATATATTTTGGAGATTAAACCCTTGTCTGAGGTATCATTGGCAAATATGTTTTTCCATATAGTTGGTTCTCTTTTTCTTTCAATACTGTTTTCTTAGCTCTACAAAAGCTTTTAATTTTGATGAAATCCTTTGTTTATTCTTTCCTTTATGTCCCTTGCTCTAGGGGACATATCAATAAAAATGTTGCTGTGTGAAATATCTGAGATTTTCCTGCCAATGTTCTCCTCTAGAAGTTTAATGCTGTCACGGCTTATATTTAAGTCTTTTATACACCTTAAATTTATTTTGGTGTACGGTGTAAGTTGGTGCTCGAGTTTCATTTTTTTTGCATGTAGCTGTCCAGTCCTCCCAACACCATTTGTTGAAAGAGGCTATTTCTACTCCATTTTATGTTGCTGCCCACTTTGTCGAATATTAATTGACCATAGAGACTTGGGTTTATTTCTGGGCTCTCTGTTCTGTTCCATTGGTCTATGTGCCTGTTTTTGTGCCAGTACCAGGCTGTTTTGATTACAGTGGCCTTGTAATACAGTTTGATACCAGGTATTGTGATCCCTACTACTTTGCTCTTCTTTCTCAAAATTGCAGAAGGTATTTGGGGTCATTTATGGTTCCATATAAATTTTGAAGTGTTTGTTCTATGTCGGTGAAATATGTCATTGGTACTTTAATAGGTATTGCATTGAATCTGTAAATTGCTTTGGGTAGTATGGACATTTTGATGATGTTAATTCTTCCAATCCATGAACACAGTATATTTTTTCATTTGTTTGTGTCTTCCTTGATTTCTTTCTTCAGTGTTGTGTAGTTTTCTGCATACAGGTCTTTTACCTCTTTGGTTAGGTTTATTCCTAGGTTTTTGTTTTTTTTTTGCTTTATCAAATGGGGCTTTTTTTCTTGATTTCTGCTTCTGCTGTTTCATTGTTGGTATGCAAAAATGCCTTTGATTTCTGGATATTGACTTTGTTTTCTGCTGTTTTGCCAAATTCATTTATTAGGTTGAACAGTTTTTTGGTGGAGTCTATAGGGTTTTTTATGTACACTACCATGTCATCTGCAAACAATGACAGTTTTGTTTCCTCCTTTCCTATTTGGATGCCTTTTATTTCCTTTTCTTGTATTATAGCTTGCCAGGGGCATTCTTTCAACAGAACACCTTTGGGGAAATGCTGAAGTAAACAAGAAAAAAGGTGATAATGCTTTCTCTTCTTCCTTTCTCCTTTAGAATCAGTTAAATATCATTTGTGATTTAACAAAAGGATAGAATTTTGGAGCTGGAAGGGACACTAATGATCACCTAGTGTGGTGGTTCCCAGACCTTTGGGTCTATGAATTAGTAAAAATACACATGTATTTTTAATATCAGGGTCCTCTTATGGAGGGCACACTTGAATTTTGCCATCCAAGGATGTCAAAGGGGAAACGTTCCCATCGTTCATAAAAACAAGCCACTTTAACAGATTTATAAAATAAATAAATTTATGCAAATATATCCACTGTTCTAATTTTTCTCATTTCACTGCAGACTTAACAAACTTCATCACAGGCCAACATTTGTAGTGATTTACCCAGTGTAACCATGTATTTTACAAATAAAGGCACCCGATGGTGGGAATGGTTAGTAATTTTCCACACTGATGGCAGAACCAAAACCAGATCCTGGGTTTCTGACTTGAAATTGTGTTCTATTTGAGATATATTATACAATATACAGATATATAATATATAGACTTTTAATCTATTTGGTTATCAGAAAAAGAAATACTTTATAATAAAAAAATCACTTGTTCTATGTCTTATGCCTGTTTGCATATCTAGCTACATACTTACAGAAAATAAATGAGAAGAGTCTTGCTGCTTTTTAAAAGCTTAGAGACTATTATTAACAGACTTCTCTCCACTTTCCAATGACTACGTTCTTTGGTAAATCATTTACCTTTTCTGAGACTCAGTTTTCTCATCTGTAAAATGGGAATACTGTTAACAATCTCATAGTATTTTAGGATTAATGAGATAAGAGATGCAAAGCTTTTAGTAAAGAATCTGGTGCATGACAAGTATTCATTCAATAAATATTTATTGGGTAACTAAAAAGTG